AAAAAAAAAAAAAAAAAAAAAAAAAAAAAGACATGTTTGTTGCATTGCTGAAAGCTTTTGCAAATCGATTAAAACTCGTGCGTGAGAACAATGGTGGCCCAATCAAGGGATATTGATACTTGGAATTACTTTTCTAATTGAATTAAAATCTTATTTTACTTTGTTATGCTGTCGAGGAAAAAAAAAAGTGTGATTTATTTTGCAACACCCCTCGGAGCCTCCCAGTAGCTCATCGACAGATCTGACGCTACATTTCGAGTTTCAATATTCGTGGTTGATAGATCACAAATAGCTCATCATATAGCTTTGCACTCAACAACAATCAAAACAAATCATTTACTGCTAGAAATGTATGTCATAAGCTATTTTTTTATTTTTCCACATTTCAGAACTTTAAATTTTGTTTACAGTTAGATCCAGTTATTTTATTTTATAGTTTTTATGATGAATTTTCTATTTTTATTTACCAAAGTAACACATTCTAAGTATATTACCTTATACTTTTTAATTTTAATACACAGTTTACAAAACGTTAACCTTTACCGAACCTTCCTTTCGCTCTTTTCGGTACAATGATGCTGACGATTTGTCCCATATCACTAATATAAAAATATGAAAATGCAACTAATTTAAACTACTGGCCACTTATGATCAAAGTTTGAAGTATATATTTTATTTAATTACATTTTATTCTGATACTTAAGTAATTCAATTTACATCGGAAAAACACTTATATACATATATATATAGTTTTTTTTTTCTTGCCGCATAAGTGCATTTACTGTCATCTATCAAAGTTTTTGAACATTCTCGGCGCGATTTTAACGTCAGATTCAGGGCCTAAGTTTAAATTTTGGTTTATTCGAGTTGCTTGAATTATCTTTTAATTTCGGTTTCAGTGTAAGATGAAACATCCAGCATTTTGAATTACTAATTTTGTTTTTATTCGTACTGTATGTCTAATTCTAAATTATTGGGTGTAATTGTATTTATTTGTTATTACTATTAGTGTTAATATATCATTATATGATTAATTTAGCGATGTACGCTTCGTCCTCACCTGGTAACCATTGTCACTTTTGTATTCATTTTTAATTGTAATTCGTAGCAATAAAATTGTAACTATTAAGTGATTTAAAACACATAAATATAATAGTAACGGAACAATAGCGTAGCATTTTTAACAGTATTAATCATTGTTAATAACACCAATAACGGTAACAGAACAATAACTTGAAAGTTGAATAACTCAATAACTAACTGAATTAGTGAATAACGTGGCATCTTTAAAATTAAAGTTTAACAGTATTACTGTTAGTTTTCTATTATTATTAATATAACTTATAAGTTATGAGATTACAATTATGTACATTGTAAATTGTACTAATGAAGTAAAACTAATAGTAATACTAGACAATTAGTAGTAAGTAGAACTAGGTGTAGGGTTACTAACTTAATATATACTAATATTAGTAATGATGCTATTAAACTTAAAATATTATTATTAATACTAATAGTAATGTTAGGCTTAACTTAATAGTTAAACTATGCAGGAGATAAGGTTTCATAAACCATTAAGGATGGTTTTCTTCATCAATTTGTCACGGAACCTAGTGATACTATTACTATGAATAAATGCTGTTTTCTTTTTTTAAGATTTATTGTTTAATATGTGGAGACTGGAGGACATCTGGGTGTAGGTGATTATTGCTCAGTTAGGTTTGATGTTTTACAATTAAAGCATATGGAGTTATGGAATAATTAGATTTTTGTTAAAAATTACAAAAAAACAATTTTGAAGAAATGTGACAAGCATTGTGATTTAATATGTGTTGTGGAACTGGATTAAATAGTGATACTAATCTGATATGGAAAATTCTTAAAACAAAATTTTAAATATTGAAGATAGACGTGTTCCTTATAGAAGAAAAAGGGTGGTTGCTAGTAAAACGCCAAGGGATAAAATTAAAGTGTTAGAAACTTAAGAAGCATAATTTGACTTCTATGATGGGAGACTTGGAGGATTATAGAAGATCAAATAGAGTTGGTCAAACAGGACATTAGGCAGTCAAAACATTAAACCGAAAAAGGTTGGCTGAACATTTAAAATTAGCAGTAAGGAATTAAGGGTGAACAAAATGTTGGGATTGGAGTAGCACCTTTGGAAAGTTTATTTCTGATGAGTAAGAGATTGGTGTCTTACTAAATTATATCTTTTTTTGTTAACTTTTACCACAGAACATTTAAACGGTATTACACATCCTTAATATTTGTTTGAGGGAGACATATTTTATGAACAAGATGATCACCTTAATTCTGAACTTATTAAAAAGAAATTGGTAAGTTTAAAAAATAAAAATGATTCTAGTCCTAGACCAGATACTTTGTAAGGGTTTTGAAGAAAGTTATAGATTGAATGTGTAAGCCACTTACTACTTTTTTTGTTTGTAAATCCTTGAATATTGGGCTTGTACCAGATGATTTGAAGGTGTCTAATGTTGTTTGTCTTTCAAGGAAGGTTATAAAAATTTGACCAGTAAATATTAGTCTTACATCAGTGGTGGGAAAATTTTTTAAAATTGATAAATGATGCTTTGCAAAGTCATTTAACAAAGTTTAAAATTTTGTTGGATAGTCCACATGGTTTCAATAGAGAAAATATTGCCTTATTAATCTGACATTATTTGAAGAGGTTACTGCTAAATGTTGATGACTGTAGAAATGTGGATTTAGTATATCTGTATTTTCAGAAAGAATTTAACAAAGTTACACATTAAAGGCCTGTTAAAAAATGATTTCTATTAATATAGGGGAATAAATCGGATAGAAAAAGATTTCCTAACAAGGTGGTTGGTCTTTGGAATAGATGTTACGGAGACAGTAAATTTAAGGGAAATATTGATGAATATTTGAATGGTTAAGGCTGGCTTTGAATGCTTTGTATTTATTGTAAAGTTTAGTTTGTTGGATGGGATGACCTAGATGGACCAACAGGTCTCATTGTTCATAAGTTGTAGGTTTTGAATCTCAGAGTAGCTTTCAATCTTACAAAAAAAAACCGTCAAAATAATTCAACCTATCCTCATTTGGTAACTCTTCCAAACGTGAAAATAATTTCAAAGTCAATGATGAAAATCTAGCACAAGACCACAAGTATTTTAATTTAATCAATTTGTTTTCATAAGTAGTGTACATTATTATTAAGAAATATTAGATAATGATTTTTGTTTTTTTTACTTGCCAGTGCAAAGTTGACAATTTGTATTGGCCCTTTAGTTACAAGTCACAACTACATACATCTTATGGAAGTAAAGAACTAGGAAATGTTGATTGCACAAAGTCTCACAACTGAAAGTAATCAAGGTGAAGTTGAGAAATTATTTTCCAAAGTCTTGACAGTTACTATTAAGGAAGGAGGAGTCACACAAGGAAGGCAAGTTAAGAAACTTCATTTATTGATTTATTTTCATTACTGTGACAAAAAAAAGGTGTGTCTATTAGAAATTATAGGCCATCAGTTGGTCTCATGGCCAATTAAGGATATCTTGACCCTCAACTTTCTTCAGAATAAAGATAACTAATCACTGTATCCTGTCTTAATGAGTTAATCACCCAGATTTTCTTCAACTTCTGTATGGTTGGAACTTCTTCTCTAGATGGTAATTTGTTTGACAGTTATGCCACCCTTTTGGAGAAGTAAAACAGCTTCAACAGGATATATTTGACTTTTCCAAACCCTACTGCCCTTAGAATTCAACATGGGAAAATGTCATGCTTCATTTTAGGAAATTCTTGTAACAATTTTGGATATTCCAATCACATCATTCTTGATCCCTTCTTTTTTTTTTAAGAAAGTAAAAGTTAAGAGATATCAGCCTATTCTTATATGGTAACCTATCCATCCATGGACATCTGCAGAAATTTTTCCAGGGGGGTCAAAATCAAAAAATGATGGACCTGCTTCAAAATGTTGCTATTACAGACAAGAGAGTTGGCAAGCTCCCACGGTCATACTGCAGACATGCTGCTATATATATACTTCATGATAGTAAATACATGCTGTTCTTTAATGCTCTTAACTGTATAGAGTAATTTCACCTAATATAAAACAACTGCTTATACAAATACAGAAATTTGAGGTCACGTAAAGCACAATATTTCAATGGCATTTATTGTGTATGTATGTTAAGAACAATGAGACTGCATGAGTCTCTTTGATAACAGTCAGTAACTTACATTTAACACTTGGATGGCTGGATCTTTTTAGGTAGAAAGATAAACTAGTCTTGTTATGCCCTTCATCACGCATGATGAATTTAGTCTTAACTGCTAGTTACTTATAAAAATTAACTGCAGTTTTTAAACTCTGTCAGTGATTGACCAGCCTTCACTCCACTGGCAAAGTATTTCATAATTTTAAGATTATTGTCTCTGCATGTTCAATGTGATGTTATAGTTACCATTTAAATCTGTGTTCTTTCTAAACTTTAGGCTATATCAAAAATTTTTTTTATATCTAACGTTTTGTTTTGTAGTAATAATGTTGTATACTAATTAACTATTGGATGTTTTAAACTAATCATGGAGTTTGAAGTAATTCTGAAGCATCTGTAATTAATGATGTATTTTGGTAATACTATGTATCTAATGTTTATTATAAAACTTAGTTTATTCAGTGGTTGCATTAATGCAAAAATTTGCACACAAAAAAATCAGTTTATCAGGAAAAACTTGGTGCATTTACAGTATTTTGTAATGAGGGGTAGATTTAGTGAACTGAACAGTTTTTTATTGCCATGCTGATTCCTATGTAATGTTTTTAATTATATTACATATAAAATTTTTAAATATATATATATAATTATTTTACTCTCTTTCAGAAAGTCTAGGCTACTTATTTCTGTTGAAAGGTGCATTATTAGTAGTCCTCTTTCAAGAAAGGTTTGTGGATTGAAATTTCTAATTCATGTTTAACTGAGTTTTTTTTCTTCTGAAACTTCTAAAATACCTGGATATTAAGACTTATTATAACTTCTAATGAGTGTAATATTTAGGTGTTTCACAAAATGTCTGAAAAGTAGAAATATATTATCAAAACCCTATTTCATAAATATCTGAAATATTTTGTTTTTTCTTCTATACTTTTATATATACTGCAACAAGAAATTTATTATCAAATGCCTACCTCATAGCTGTTTTAGGTAATTGTTCTTTAGTCAAACATTTTTTAAAACACCTATATATATATATATATATATATATATATATATATATGCAGATTTTGTT